AGGGGGTAAGAGCACTGAAATTGGAATCCTTGCTATGCAACCAACTGATTATGTGATTTTTGACAAGTTAGTTATCCTTTCTTATCTAGGTCTTTGTCTCATCTTTCTAATGGGAGTAATAATATCTACCTTACTGGGCTGTTACAAGGTTTAAATGAGATGGATATATCATATAAGTGTTAGTTAATGTCAGCTACTATTGTTAATTATTATTGGCCATCCAAAGGCAGAATGTACTGAATTGTAACTAAAGATACTAAATAAGCAAAAACAGATTTGACATTTAAAAAAATGGAAAACAATGCTGTTCTTTTCAGTAGTTTATTTTAAATAAACATAATGTAGACATGTAATTCATACATCTTTTTTAAATGACAAATAAGTGTAAGAAATTGTTTTAATTTCTGATACGACAAATGTTGAATTTCTAAGAGTGTGAAGAGATCACAAGACCAAGAAGTTTGAAAAACACTGATGTAGGCTATGTTTCATAAATGAACTATAGTTATTCATACATTCTTCTGTCAAACGTTTTTATATGGTTCCTTCTTTTTTACTGGCAAAATCAGTGCTGCTACGTGTGTCCCTGTATATCTCCCAGGGTGCTTAGATAGGAGTTTGCCAAGATAGGGAAATATACTTAGAAGCGGAATTGCTGGATAAAAGGGTGCATGCAACGTCCAATTTTTCATAACAAAGGTGAAAATATGCAGACTCCAGAAATGCTTTAAAAAATGGAATTAGCAGGACTTGGACAGAGTGACCAGCAACTCCACACGCAAGGTACAAAGTACAGCCAGAGGCAGGAGGAAAATGGGGAGAGAGCAGTATCTGAGAGCTGTTTCTATTGAATGTATTCTTGGGAAAGGTGCGGTGGGCCCTGTCTGCCTGCCTACATTTTTTTTTTTCTGCAGGTCTCACCCCAGGCTTTGATCCACTTGATGCACTTCTGGGGACTAGTGGTATCAGCAGCCAGCTGTGGGCCTTTTTGGAACAGCTGGGAACTCGGGCTCTTTTTGCCTGTTCATCTTTGTAGAGCTTTGCCTTGAAGTCCCTATCACCTGGGGTCTGGGCAACATGGCGTCACTGTCTGAATCCCAGAAGGCTTTGCAGTCCTCACTGAGTGAGTGGTCAGACTGGGAGTTCCATGGGAGAGGCCTGGCTGCAGAGGGCCTACTGGCTGGTGCTTGTTTGGCATGCCTTTAATTTTTTTTTTTTTTTTCTTTTTCAACGTTTTTATTTATTTTTGGGACAGAGAGAGACAGAGCATGAACGGGGGAGGGGCAGAGAAAGAGGAAGACACAGAATCGGAAACAGGCTCCAGGCTCTGAGCCATCAGCCCAGAGCCTGACGCGGGGCTCGAACTCACGGACCGCGAGATCGTGACCTGGCTGAAGTCGGACGCTTAACCGACTGCGCCAACCAGGCGCCCCTTGGCATGCCTTTAAGAAGGAGAACTGGTCCACTTCCTAGCCTGTATTCAGTGCTACACACGTACCTCCATTCCAGGGGGCTCCTTCCGGCTCTGGGGGGGAGCTGAAGCAATGTTCAGTTCGACCTGTAAGCCTTGTCCCTCCATCAGGGGCCTTAAGTTTCCTGAAGCTGGTAGTTTAGTTTCAGTCATCTTCATATACCCAACATAGAGCCTGTCACAGAGTGCATACTCAAATGTATGAATGAGGGAATTAATTATAGATTTTTAAATATACTAAGGCCACTTATTTATTGTTAGAACTGCTTTTATACAAACCGGTGAGGAACATAAATTTACAAGTTGGTTTTTTTTTTTTCCAGTAACGCAGCTCACCATTCAGCTTTTTAAAGTATTAGTACTGCAGAATATACTTAACACCATGACATTTTCACAATAGGTAAATTTTTCTCTCTTCTGGTGCCAGGCGTCTTCAAGTCTTGGCCTGGTTTGTTATTTAAAAACTTTTTTTTTTTTGGTATATTTACACATTTTTTAAAGAGACACAGCATGAATGGGGGAGGGGCGCAGAGCGAGGGGGACACTGAATCTGATGCAGGCTCCAGGCTTTGAGCTGTCAGCACAGAGCCCGACACGGGGCTCAAACTCACAAACTGCGAGATCATGACCTAAGCTGAAGTTGGAGACGCTTAACCTACTGAGCCACACAGGCACTCCTTGGCCTGGTTTATTAAGAGAGATGCAGTTAATTCGGACTGCCCATGAGCTTTCTCTAAAATGCAATGTGAACGTGTATTTTTGGGAGAGGCAGCTAAGATCTATGGTTAACTTGTAAGATAGAAATTCACTTGCTTTGTAAAGGCTTATTTAAAGAAAGCAGGTTGGTTTTTTTTTTTTTTTTAACTTTTTTAATGTTTATTTGTTTTTGAGAGAGAGAGACAGAGTGTGAGTGGGGGAACGGCAGAAAGAGAGAGGGAGACACAGAATCAGAAGCGACTGAGTCACCCAGGCGCCCCAGAAAGCAGGTTTCTAATGTGTGCTGCTTTTTTATTTATCACATGTTAAGAGTTTGTCAGCCACTTAAAAAAGCCTGCTGTATTCTGAGTGTACTACTTTCCATATGTTGCAGGGTTTCTTCGGGGACACAAATTTAAAGAAAGAAGGTACACACAAATTTTCTTAGAACTTTCCTTTTCTAGCAACCAGATATGAATTTACTAGACATCATTAAAGACAATTTCCTGGTTTGTTTTTTTTTTTTTTTTTTTTTTTTTTTTTTTAGCATATGTTATAAATCTCTGGGAAATAACAGTTTAGAAACAGTACTGTGGGACCCCTGGGTGGCTCGGTTGGTTGAGCAACCAATTCTTGATTTCGGCTCAGGTCATGATTTCAGTTTGTGAGATTGAGCCCTGCTTCTGGCTCTGTGCTGAAAGCCGGGACCCTGCTTGGGATTCTCCTCCCTCTCTGCCCCTCTCACTCACTCACTCTCAGAACAAATAAAGAAAAAAGAAACGGTACTGTGCATGTTTGAGGTTATGTAAAAAATTATAAAAGCTACCATTTGTTGAGCTCTGTATCACCTACCTAGGATCAACTGGGTTGTATGTATTAGCTGGAGTCTATGGATAAGGCATTCCGGGCTCTGAGATACTTACTTTTATTACTCACAAGGAAGTGTTGGAACCAAAAATGCAACACAAGACATGTCTGGTTCCAAAGCCTATGCTATTAGTAGCATATGTAAAAGAATAATGATAATAATAATAATAATAATAATAATAAACTGGTGTTTGTGACCATCACCTAAGACTTATGTCTGGTTTACATTAAATTATTGTTAGCCAGGTAAAAATTGGTTGAACTGAATCAGTATGATCATTTTACCTTTTGAATTTGTCTTTGGGATGGGAGAGGGTTTTTGGTTAAAAAAAAATTGAGGTATAATGGACATACAATAAATCGCGCATTTAACGTGTACAATAGGTAAGTTTTGACAAATGTGTACATACGTGAGATCATCACCCGTGATGGGAAAACGTAAGGGCTGCAAATAAAGATTTCAGTTTCCCTTCTAGAAGAACACGTGTCTGGAACGACTCAGTCTAAGGAAATCCAGGAGTATCGTGTGAATGGTGATGTGGGACGTGAGATGTAAAGGGAGACTCTGGGCTCACTACTGGGCAGGCAGGGTCACCTGGCCAGGATCACTGTTTGTGTCAGCGTGTCGGAGATACCCCGGTCACGATCGGGAAACTGGTCTAGCTGGCGCCCCAACAGCCGTCCGGATTTTCCGCAATGTCCAAATCCCTCTTGGGAACCCACAGGGGAGGAGCCAAGCTCCTAAAACCGCACTCCCATCAGAGGGAGGAAGTGCGTCAGCGCCAGACTCCAGAAGGCCCCGCCCCTCGAGGCCTTCCGGGGCATCTTGGCTCCCGGCATGCAGCGCGCCCGTCCGGGGCTCCTGGGAGTGCGTGGAGGGCACCGGCAGGAAGGCGGAAGTGTGGAGGCTTCCGGTCAGCGTGGTCTGCGTGCCATCTGCGAGTTTCTGACTTTCCTGGTGAGTTGTCTGCTTTCCGGGTCCAGTGGGGCCTGGGACTTGGGAATCTAAACTGTCGCCCGTAGAGAATCTCATCTCAAGCCCGGTCCGTCTCTGGGCAAGGTTGAGCCCGGCCCGAGACGCAGCCCTCCGTCAGGAACGAGAGTCTCCTGTGGTGTTGGTGGTGGCCCTCGGGCTTCCCCGTGCTCTGTGCGAGGTGGAGCCCTCCTTTGTCGGTAGTCTTGCTCGGGTTAACCTGGGCCTTCAAAGTTGTTTACCGCAACTCCTCTGTTCTTGCCCCTCGCAGGCTTGGATTGTTGTAGGCAGGGGGACCGTGAGTTTGTGGTTGCTGGTTGTGGTCCTCAAACTGTTAACTGTTAGTTATCCATTCAACAAATGCGCCGTGCGTTGGGGGATCCAGTGGTGAACGAGACCCATTTAGTTAGCGCCTGCCTTCGGGGTCCCCGAAGTCCCCCGGGATGACAGAAAATAAACTAAATTTCAGAATGTAATACGTATTTAAAAGGAAAGAAAAGGATGGTGTGGTGGAGAGTAGAAGGGAAGCTTACGAGGCGGGGCGGGGGGGGGGGGG